TGGACAGCAGCGGTGAGGGAAGCTGTCGGGGTCCTAGTGGGGTTTCTGTGCTGCTGACCTCGATTCGGGACATCGTATGTAGGTGGGTGGATTACTTCGCAGGCCTCCTTAATCCCACCAACATGTCTTCCATTGAGGAAGCAGAGCCTCGGGCTCGGTCAGGTTATCCCATCTCTGGTGCTCAGGTCACTGATGTGATTAAAAAGCTCCTTGGTCGCAAGGCCCCAGTGGTGGGTGAGATTCGCCTTGAGTACCTTAAAGGAATAGTACACCCAAAACATGATTAGCCTTCATTTTCTACTCACCCCCATGCTGAACAACACTCTGGAGTACTTTTTTGATATCTCAAATGCATCTGGAGATCTGGGAGGCTTCTTGCTGTCTGCTGACATTCAAATAATGGAGGTCTATGGTGCCCGAGACAGAAAGGTCCATAAAAGTCCACAAAAACGTGTCAATATTCCTCCATGCTGCTCGTCCAATGTATTCCAAGTGTCCTGAGTGGGTAGCATCCAGAATTTACTCGAAACGAAGTAATTTAGAATGTTTTTAGAGCATAAACAGTAGTGAATAGTATTTCCTAAAAGCGCGTTCACGAGTCTACGGAAACCGCGGCAGACCAAACCAGACGAAAGTGCGCATTCAGCTCGGCAAAGAACTCATGCTCTTCCTCAACACTGAAGTCCTCAGACATTTTTCTTTCGTTGTTTCTTTCTTTGCACAGGTAAACAGCACATTTCTTCTTCTACGCTTGCATTATCAGCAGAGCAGACGCTGAATGCGCACTTTCCTCTGGTTTGGTCTGCCGGCTTCCGTAGCGTCCTGAATGCGCTGGCGCGCGCTTTCAGGAAATACTATACACTACTGTTTATGCTCTAAAAACATTCTAAATGACTTCGTTTCGAGTAAATTCTGGATGCTACCCACTCAGGACACTTGGAATACATTGGACGAGCAGTATGGAGGAATATTGACACGTTTTTGTGGACTTTTATGGACCTTTCTGTCTCGGGCACCGTAGACCTCCATTATTTGAATGTCAGCAGACAGCAAGAAGCCTCCCAGATCTCCAGATGCATTTGAGATATCAAAAAAGTACTCCAGAGTGTTGTTCAGCATGGGGGTGAGTAGAAAATGAAGGCTAATCATGTTTTGGGTGTACTATTCCTTTAAGGCTCTGGAAGTTGTGGGGTTGTGTTGGTTAACGCAACTCTGCAACATTGTGTGGACATCAGAGGTAGTTCCCCTGGATTGGCAAACTAGAGTGGTGGTCCCTCTATTCAAAAAGGGGACCAGAAGGTGTGTTCCAACTACAGAGGAACCACACTCTTAAGCCTCCCTGGTAAGGTCCATTGCAGGGGATATTGGTCCGTAGTAAGTCAGACATGTTTCTGATGAGGGTTGCACTCTGCCACGGTTGCTCCTCATCACCAATTCTGTTCATAACTTTTATGGACAGAATTTCTAGGTACAGCCAAGGTATTGAGGGGATCTATTTTGGTGGCCTGAGGATTGCGACTCCGTTATTCGCAGATGATATGCTTCTATTGGCTTCATCAGGGCGTGATCTGCAGCTCTGACTCAAGCAGTTCGCAGCCAAGTGTGAAGCAGCCTGGATGAGCTTTGGGTCCAAAAGAATGAGATCCTGGATACAAGCAGCTGAAATTTATTTTCTCCGTAGTGTGTCTGGGCTCTCCCTTAGAGATAGGGTGAGGAGCTCAGTCATCCGGGAAGGACCCAGAGTAGAACCGCTGCTCCTCCCCATCGAGAGGAGCAAGTTGAGGTGATTCAGGCATCTGGTTAGGATGCCTCCTGGATGTCTCCCTGGTGATGTGTTCCAGGAACGTTTTACTGGGAGGAGGCCCAGGGAGGGACCCAGGACACGCTGGAGGGAGTATGTTTCTCGGTTGGCCTGGGAGCGCCTTGGGATTCCCCCAGAGGAGCTGCCCCAAGTGGCTGGGCAGAGGGACATCATGGCCTCCCTACTGAAGCTGCCCGCGACCTGACCCTGGATAAGCAGAAGAAGATGGTTGGATGGATACAGAGACAATAGTTCATCATATGGGATACAAAATACTTTGTTGCAGATAGCAGGTATTTTCCACAAATGTTGCCAGAACAAAATCCTCCTTTTCAGACAACCAGCGCAGAATCTCTGCTTCATCTTTCCAAGATAAATAAGGACTTTTTAGCTGAATTGATTCAGAAAGGGAGTTTCTTATGTCACAGTATAAAGTACAATAAAGAACAAAACGAAAATCCTCTTCCACAGCCTTGAGATAACAAAATTCACACAAGCTTTAAGTGTTCAGGTATTCCTTTCAATCAAGCAATACGTTTAACTCTTAGCGGCCAGCAAGTGGTGCACTCACACACTAGTTGTCCTCCTGTTGCTGCCAACAGCTACAATAGCTATTCCCCCCCCCCTCTTATGGCTTCATGTTTTTTTTTTCTTTTCCGTTAAGTTTTTGATTTTTCAAATATGTAACAGTTTTTTTCTATCTGCTACTTTATCTAAACATTTTTACCCTCAACTTCGTGGGTGCATGAAAACATCTATAAATTTATATAAACTCTATGGTTAAGTACATTTATTAAGGTCTAAAGTTCTTCCTTTATCTTGCATTATTTAATTGTATTTAGCTATGTTATTCTGTCCCATAAGCAAGCAGAATAATTGCAGTAATCCTTTTTGTCTCCATGTAACTCTAAATTTGTAAATTTACCCTTCATAAGCATGCATTATTTGGTCTCACAATTTTCTAATAGAATACTAAACATGGTGTATGTAAACTTCTGAATTTTGAAAGAGTAATTAAACCTCCTTAAATTAATATTTAATTGTACCGGTATTTAAGAAAAATTAAGAAAAAAAATGGAAATTCTCACAGACCTAAAATGGCAAAGTGGTTTGTCAGACAATAGAAATAATGTTTTCTGTCTCGCCATTCAACTTCTTTTTTCAGCTGTATCTCTTCATTTTCTTGAATGTGCTTGCAGTATTATTCAACTTCTGGTGTCACACCTTTGCAAATTTAAAGTCCTTACAAATTTAGTAAACAGTTGATTGCCAGAAAATTTCATCCTATAGAAATACAAGCCATGTCACCATCCTGACATATCTAGGAAACGTTCCTCCTAACTATATTTACCAGATGTTATATTAGGAAGCTTGCATAAAGCAATTACGTCATCGAAGAGAATAATGTAGCCAAACAAATCTGAAACACTGGAAGTGCAGATTGGAGCATTTTAAAAAAGGCAAAAGAGAAACGCACCAGCTTGCTCAGCAGGGAGAAGAAACTGAATAAACGACTTTGACCTCATGTCTAAAGTAGGAACTAGTGGCAAGGAATGGATAATAAATCACACGGTGGAGAGCAGGGTTTTATAGTCTTACAAACTTGTTTTCAATTTGAATTGTCTGCTTACCCTAAGAAAAAATATATATTTTGAGCATCAGGTCATGTTTGTTTCTTTGTCTTAAGTTTGTTTTTTTAACTAAGATTTAGCTCCACTAAGGTGCTCAGATATCCAGGCCTGAGGCATACACTTATTAAAGTCTGGAATGCAGCACATGCCTTTACCTTTCACCTCTGAATGTAGAGCTTGACCTTCCCTAACCTTTACTGTGTTGGGGTGAAATAACCTGCAGGGGGTTACTGGGCCAAAGTCTGCCTGGCAACATTTAACCAGACTCTTGTTAAAAAAATAAAGACTAAAGATTTAATTTTTTTAAATCACCGCCATTTGCTTTTCCAAAAAGTTGAAAGTTGTGGATTTAGAAGATATAGTTTCTAAGTTCATTCCCCATCAAAATATATTTAAGATAACTTTTAAACTCACACTGATTTATGTGATTAATCCAAATCCTATGCAGCAACAGCCACGTTTTTAAAGCATCTGTGATGAGCCAAACATGAGCCTAAAAATTATATCTTTCTTATCAATTATTTTTTAACAAATGCCTTTTGCTTGTGTTTTAATGAAAAAAAAATAAATCACATCAACCTTAAAATCCTGGCTTCTTTCCTGAGGTTAATTCATGATCATGATGTTTATTTTTGCTTTTCCAAAAAACTCTTGCCAAATCTCTTCTTTCGTCAATACCTTGTGTTTTGCCAAGAGATGTGTAATTTAGTCAATAATACAATGCCTAACTCCACTTCCAAGAAATGCCAGTTTAACTAGAAATTATTTGATAAAGAGAGTAATTTATTTTATTTTATTGTATCTTTTTTGCTATAAGTAATATATGCTCTACTTAAGGAGAAGTAACAACCACCGCTGGGAGTAAAATAATTTCAAAATTATAAATCAGTTATTAAATGCATATGTGTCTTAAACCAAACCTGGGCTGCATTTTTTCTGTTCTTTACCAATGAATCTAAGAGTAATGCACTCACATGGAAACACTTAATTTAAAAGATCTGCAAAGGGATGTATTATTTCTAACTTGTTTATTTTTTTGAATAATTATGTTATAAAGCTAGAAACATTATTGATTTAAATGAGAAACCATCGTGGCAATGGTAAGTTTTAACCCTTAGATGATTGCATCTTTATGTAACTGTTCCTTTGACACTAGGTTTTTCTTCTAAGCAATTATTGGTCAAAGTGCTTGCAAAACCTTTTGCTGCTATTGTGATAAAAAAAAAGGAATGCTTAGCATGCATATGTTTTTTTTTTTCTTCCAAAAAATAAATTAGGATTTAACTGTCTGATGTAGATTAGGTATTTTGTCATTGGGAATCACATTGCATGCATGTGTTTTTAAGTCATAAATTGCAGATGCGCGACTTAAATTTAAGTTTTCAACTTTATATTACTATTTGTAGGATACATGAATGGTTTATGTGCATTTTGCAAAAGTTGTTTTGGTGTTTTAAAGCACCTTTCACAAAATCCAATTTAATACACATCTAACTGAGCCGGATTATTGATCAAGAGCAGAACAAAGTTCATCAACCGTTGACTCTAACTTTCTGGCCAATCTTGGACTTAGAGGCGGGGGATAGAATAAATGCAAGATGATACATATGCGGTTCAGTTCCTCGGAGGAGAACCGGGGTCGGGATAGATTTTTCCAGCAGGCAAAGGAGAGTTTTGCAAAGATGGTTTCCCTGAAATCTCCGTCCCTGATGCCGGTGACCGGCGCCGACGCGCTGCTCGGTCTGGGCTGCTTGGCTGCGGCTCTCCTCGCCTTCCTACTGGTGCGCCAGCTTGTCAAGCAGAGGAGACCCCCTGGGTTTCCTCCCGGTCCTTCTCCCATCCCTATCATAGGAAACATTTTTTCTCTTGCCACTGAGCCGCACGTCTTTCTCAAGAGGCAAAGCGAAGTTCACGGGCAGGTAAGACTTGATTTCCCTGGAGCAAAATGCACTTATTTAGAGCCGTAAACCTTGAGGGGTGCGACCCTCCACGCGTCGGAGAGCGCACGCTCATGGGATTAATTATGGAAGGAACAAAAGAGACTCGCCCAAACATTTGGCTGACTGGAGCATTTCATTGGAGGAGGACAGCTGACAAATCAGGGGCTACGAGAAAAGAAAATCTCCTCCCAAGTAGCCAGTCATCTTTTGAACCTAGCAAAAAAGATAATCTGAAAATGCATGCATATTTTGATTGAACCATGAACTTATTAAAAAAGTCACTTCCTGTGGATGAATTTATCCCTATTTCTAAAGTGATAACTTCATGTTTCTCTTTTTTTGTGTGTGCAGATTTTCAGTCTTGACCTGGGAGGCATCATGACTGTGGTGTTGAATGGTTATGACAGTGTAAAGGAGTGCCTTTATCACCAGAGTGAGGTTTTTGCAGACCGCCCCTCACTGCCTTTATTCAAAAAAATGACCAAAATGGGTGGTAAGCTGCTGGTTTATGTTTCTCCATCACTAGCTCATAATCTAAGACACTGGTTGGATTTTCAGTGATAGAATTCTACTTTTTTTCATATCTTCCAAGGTCTTCTTAATTGTAAATTCGGGAAAGGCTGGGTTGACCACCGCAAGCTTGCTTGCAACTCGTTCCGTTACTACGGCAGCAGCCAGAGACTATTTGAGAGAAGGATCACAGAGGAGTGCATGTTCTTTGTTGATGCAATCGACAGACACAAGGGAAAAGCCTTCAACCCCAAACACCTTGTGACCAATGCGGTGTCGAACATCACCAATCTGATCATTTTTGGACAGCGTTTCACCTACGATGACAGTAACTTCCAACATATGATCGAGATCTTCAGTGAGAACGTGGAGCTGGCTGTCAGCGGCTGGGCTCTCCTCTATAATGCCTTCCCTTGCATTGAATATCTGCCCTTTGGAAAACACCAGAAGCTCTTCCATAATGCTGCTGAAGTGTATGACTTCCTGCAGGAGGTTATAAAACGATTTTCCCATGGCAGGGTGCCCCATGCACCACGCCACTATGTTGATGCATATTTGGATGAGTTGGAGCGAAACACAGGAGATCCCAATAATTCTTTTACTTATGAGAACCTCATCTATTCAGTGGGTGAGCTCATTATCGCTGGCACAGAGACTACTACCAACACCCTGCGTTGGGCTATGCTGTACATGGCCCTCTACCCCAACATACAAGGTAGGTACAAGATGTCTTATCCTCAAATAAGGACAAAGCTATTCTCTTTTTAGTTAATGAATGATTGTCTCTGTTTTTCTGTGCAAAGAGAGGGTGCACAGGGAGATTGACAGTGTGCTGATCAATGGGAGGTCACCGTCTCTTGAGGACAAGCATAGGATGCCCTATGTGGAGGCCGTTCTGCATGAGGTTCTTCGTTTCTGCAACATCGTGCCTCTTGGCATCTTCCGAGCCACCTCCCAGGAAGCAAAAGTCAATGGGTACACAATTCCCAAAGGAACCATGGTGATAACAAACCTGTACTCTGTGCACTTTGATGAGAAGTACTGGACGGACCCAGTAGTCTTCTCACCGGAGAGGTTTCTGGACAGCAGTGGAAACTTCATGAGGCGAGAGGCCTTCCTTCCATTCTCTTTAGGTTAGTGAGTTTCTTCTTCTCTTAAAGAATAAAAACAAAACCTTTACTTACACTGGAAAACATCCAAATCTAGATAAGTCCTTTTTTCTTAAAATAAGTGCATTTGTTCTTGAATTGAGGAGATAAAAGAGACATATTGCCAATGGAACAAGACAATTTAGGTTTAAAATAAGAAAAGACAACTGCATTGTCTTATTTCAAGTGCATATTATCTAATGATCTTATTTTAAGAGTAAAAATACTCATCCCATTGGCAAATTATCTCATTAACCTACTCAAATCAAGGGTAAATACACTTAATTTGAGAAAATTGTACTTATTTCTAGATTGTTTTTGCAGCGTAGGCCCTAGGTATGCATTTATAAATGCAGTTAAGAATATGTTTTTTTTATTAACTGAGACCTAATCAATAGCGTTAATCTTGAATAACAGTAGAGGGTTTAAGTCTATTGTTGACCAGTTTATCAACAGAGCAAAGAAAGTTAAAAATAATTTGTGTGCATGTTTTATACAGTTAAAAAACATATGATTTGTAAAGTTGAAAAAATGTAAATTGAAACAAATATTTCCATTCATTTGATTCCAAAAAGGTTTGGAGATTTTATTCTCAGTTTCACTTTGAAAGAACAGAAGGATGTTCAGGTCCTTGAAACTTATTTAGGATTAAAACAAGTACCAGCACATTTTTAAACATTAAAAGTTGAATATCTTTTCCTGTCTTTTCTTAATAGAATTAGGTATTTCCTTTTCTACATAGTTTTATAACAAGCAAAATGACTGAATGAAATGCAGATCCTAAGTGGAGTCTTTGCAGTGTTTCATTGCAAGACATGTTACAAAATCCATCCTGCCCTTGATTTTTATGCATTGGCAGCACCAGTTAAAGCTGAAGTGTGTACTTTTCCCTTCCACAACCACACACATCATAATTTCCAGCTGTTATCGCTGATGACTTAGGCAGTCCTGCAAGAGTCAGAGATTACCAGAAAAATATAAATACTTAAGGAGCTAGTGTGTGTTATCTATTCAGAAGTTTCTTTTTCTGTGTGGAAAATTACACACAGGCCCATTATTGTGTTTTTATAGACTTTAATTCTTTATACCCCAAGAAATATTAATATTACATGTAGGAAGGCTGCACTGTAACTGTTAATGTATTGATTGTATTTTTCAGGTAAGCGTCACTGCGTCGGTGAACAGCTGGCCAGAATGGAAATGTTCCTCTTCTTTACCACCTTGCTGCAGAGGTTTCATCTTCATTTCCCCCCAGGCACCGTTCCAACTGTTACTCCCAAACTTGGAATGACTTTACAGCCGAAACCTTACTCCATTTGTGCTGTTCGCAGACAACAGAAGTTTCACAGCTCTGAAGACACTCCTTATCACAAATAGTTTTGTTGGCTGCTTTGCACAGCATGGCCTGTGGATATCGGTCTTTAAAGCTGAAGTCTGTAAGTTTTTAAAAATCACTTTTTTGTCATATTGGCTAAAACTGTCCCTATGCCCAGACAGCAGTACATGTGATATGTAACCTGTGAAAAAAAGTGCGTCAATTGGTACCGCCTACTGCCTGTATTTCAATCTGGAAAGAATAATTCGGGACGAGTCAAAACAACTAATCACAGCCAGAGGAGCGTCTGATGGAGTGTCAATCACAGCTCACACACGCTGAATCCCCCCCCCCCCCCCCTGGTCGCATGCGGTAGCCGCGCAGATGCTGTGAGAGGGGTGGAGCTTGGAGGTGGGGCATGAGTGAAGCAGAGAGGGTGGGGGAGTGGAGTGAAACCTGTTTTTCTTTAAATTTTCAGTCGAAGTCTGCTCTCTCCTCAATGTTGCAGACTGCAGCTTTAAAACTGACTTTTGAGTATCCGGATGCCCCTTGACACTTCAACACAATTATAAGTTTATTCAACTGATATAGATTTTTTTTTATATGAGCATATATGCATGTTTGCACAATAGTTTTAAACGGCAGGGGAGGCGACAGGTGCTGAAAGGACATCCTGGGAGCACAAGCAGACTATTGATTTAATTCCCTGAGCTCCTGCAACTAGAAAACGAAATTTCTGTGAACCTTGGCGCAGTGGGGACGGCTTAGGTCAATGATTTATATTATGTACACCAATGATGGTTCATAGCACTGATGTAGTAGGACAGCTTTGGGGAGATTAACGACACTAGATATTCATGCAGCTTGTGTCGGGCCAAATTGGACTAACAGATTTTCCAAGAAAGTTCTGAACAGTGTATTGGGATTGGCCCTGGGTCAAGATTTACAACATCTGGACTGACTCTGAACCTTTCTCCAGGGATAGCATTATTTGGAAAATCTATCTCTCAGAAAGCAAATGCAAAGCTGATGGAGTTCTAGAAACCAACTTTCCAACACTGGTTTCTGGTAAATGGTGCTTATCAGTACTAATATTGTACTGTGTTTTTATGTAAGATTAACATTTGTATGTTGTTGTTTTTTTTTTGCAATCCTGGTTGTGTTTCTTTTTGTGTATTCATAAAGTATTGTGACATTGAAAATTTCTCACTTTTTATTTAACCTCAGCAACAGAAATTTGAGCCTTAAATCCTTACAGATATTACTTTATCCATATAAAAAATTGGTTTATTAATTTAAGATTAAAACTATATTTTTCAATGCAGGGCCAGAAGAAATAATTCAAAAAAGAAGAGCTTGTGGAAAACTCAATCATACTCTTGTTCACATCAAAGAAAGTGAAGTGTTTCTTAATGTTAACTTAAGGTACAAAGGTAACTATTCTGTTTATAAAATGTTAAATTGTTGTGTTTCTATGAGGTCCATACTGTAACTTGAAAAAGAAAGTTCAAGAAAACAAAAGAAAGCTTTAACCAACTTGCAGCAGCAGCAGTGCACAAATGGCAAGCCCCCGGATCCAATATAGTGTCTGAAGCACAACTAAATATTACACAAGCTAGAGCAGTTTTTTTTTAATATATTAATAACAGCAGATGCTAACAAGAAACAGCTGCATTAATAATAGTATTGACTAAAGAATAAAAAAATACTATCTAAGGCATTTCCCAAGTGTTCTTTAGGAATTGGATTATATTTTTCCTCATTGTGTCTATTTGTGTGGGCGTTGGTGTTAGTATTGGATCACAGCTAGCTGCTTCAAGATGTTAGAAATAATTACTGTATGCTGACTCTGTTCACCATATGACTGGGGGAGTGTTGGCATAGTGGTTAGAGTAGTGCACTTGTGCTCTGAGAAGGTTGCAAGTAAACGGTTGGATCCTTTCAGCCTTCACTCTGGGTTCCTTAAGCAAAACCCTTAACCCCACACTGCTCCCCGGGAGCCGCACAATGGCAGCCCACTGCTCCCCAAGGAGATGGGTTAAATGCAGAGAGTGAATTTCCCCATTGTGGGACAATAAATTGATTTATGTTTTTGCATGACATGATGTATAAATTAATGTTTTAGGTTTGTACCTTCCTTTGTAAAATATTTCAAAATTTGATCATAGAACCTTTTTGAGATTTCCTCCATACCTGCTATCCTTTGACATTAGCGTGACATGTTAAATGCTTGTTTTCTTAATCATATCCTACACTACAGGGGTCCTTAGTTGTCTTTTATAACTCTTCCAATTACATGTTTTAAGACTGATTGAATTAAATATTTTTTTTTCATTATTTTTAAAGCTAAAATAAATCGAAAAGTCAAGCTCCGAAGTTATGTGAAACACAGCAAAAAATATTTGACAGATGTTTTAGAGATATCTTAGGTATGTTAAATTATTTTCGTTTATTTTTTAAGAAATTAATTTCTCAACTCAAAATAACTGGATAAGATTATAAGTAAGAAATACCTTGGCCACTCTAAAGAACTATTCTGGTAACTGATCAGTAATAAAAATAACTGATGAAATAATGTCAAATTTGCAGTGCAAATCCAGAAATAATAGCTTTTTTTCCCAAGTATATATAGTAAAGAAGAGAGAGGTAAGTAGCATATATAACTCTCAAAAACTATAGAGAGAAATATCATCAAGAAATTCAAAGAGAGCAATAACACACAAAAGGCCATTCACATAAAAAAAAAAAAGGCACATAAAAATCTTACCTAGAGACCTCCCCATGAACGATGAATGCAGTGTGAAGTTGCAGTGAAGGAAACCATGTCTGGCTGTTGTTTTGTACTCCAAAATTAACCCTAGAGATAAACTACAGTGGGATCATGCTTCTCAGGCTACCAGGAAGGCCCATGCTGACGGGCTGGAAAAAAGAGCAAGGCTGATTGTCAAACCTTGGCTTCAGGAGAAGCTTTTTTTTATTTCTTATTTTTTTTGTCCTAGCCATGGAACACTGGAGCAGTTCTACGTCGTCTGCAGCATGTTAAATTCTTCATGGAAGTTTCTCTGACCAATCCACAGGTGTCTAGTGAAGGGATTTAACTGTGTACCTCATGGTTCTCTGTGTGGGGTGCTACAGAAGTACAGAATCATGGGCCCTTTACTAGGGGCCATCATTTGCCGTACAAACTGAGGAGTAGTTTGGTCCTTAAGTCAGACCTATTGGCGATGCATCATGGACTCCAGAAGGACAGCCCTCTATTGTTGGTCCAGTTCATAAATTTTGTAGATAGGATTTCTAAATGCAGCCAAGGGCCAGAGGGGTTCTAGCAGTATTCAGTCCTGCTTTATCAGGATGACGTGCTTCTGCTTGCTTCCTCCTGCCAAGACCTACAACATGTCCTAGGGTACTTTGCAGCCAAGTGTGAAACACTTGGGATGAAGATACTAACCACCTGGATGCCTGAAGATGATTCAGTCACATCCCATTGTAAAGAGACCAAGCGGGGCAGCCCATGACGCGCTGGAGGCACTATGTACTGTATCTCCATAGGCCCTGGAATGTCTCAAGCTTTGGACAGGAGGATAAGGTGGAGAAGATGTCTGGTAGTCTATACTGAGACTGTGACCTATTCCCTGATAAGCAAAAGATGAGTACACTGCAAAAAATATAAATCTCAATAAGTTATTTTTTCTTAAAATAAGTGTGTTTTTCCTTGATTTGAGGAGGTAAGTAAGACACTTTGCCAATGGAACAAGACAATTTCCTTTTAAAATAAGAAAAAACTATTTTATCGTCTTATTTCAAGTAAATATTATCTAACTATCTTATTTTAAGAGTGAAAATACTCATTCCATTGGCAAATCATCTTATTTACCTGCTCAAATTAAGGCTAAATATACTTAATTTAAGCCATTTTTTACTTATTTCTGGATTGTTTTTGCAGTGTAGTACAAGTATGATAAACAGCTGCTAATGATAGAACTACACCATGAAGGATAACATTAATGTTACTAATTAATAGTAGTTTGTATTAATAATTAATAGTAGTTTAACTAATTAATTACTGTTTTTCAAGGCTGCACTTTAAAAAAATGATATTATCTAGAGCAGTTTTAAATTAAATTTCAGTCTAAGTTCTTAATTAACCCGGAGAAACCCCAATTTAAATTCCATTTAGTGCCCCATCCAAGAGGGTCATCATATCTGTAAGAGCTTGAGAAGATGTTTTTTTTTTCAAAGAAGATGTAGGAATTTCTCAGGACATACATCAAAGGACTACCAAAACTGTTATCCAGCAAAAACTGGAAATAAAACAATTAACAATAAATCTTGTTTCCAAAAGGCTGATGAACATTTTTTTTAAATACAATTTTTTTTCCATTTGCTTTTCTTATTACTCGCATTTCTTATTATTTGCAAAACACGGTCATGACTGGGTCAAACTAAATTATTTAGTTAGCCTAGAGATGCTTAGCTAAGGTAACTAGCAAGTAGGAGTAAGACAGTATTGAGGTGTGTTTTACATAAAACTAGCCAGTTTACTTTTTTACTTTTTCTAGTTGGTTCCACCTTTAAAGTGACAAAAGTTGAAAAGAGCACACAGTAAGATGTCCACACACAAGTCGGAGGCTCGATCTGAATGCCTGAAATCGGTAAGGACAGTTAAGCCGCAGCGGAAATGTGTCCGAGGCCATCGGGTGCAATCTAAATAGTGCTGACAGTTAGGAAGCAGCTGGGGCCAACAGGTAGTATGCTTCCTGGTGCCTATGCAGTAAGCATAGGAACCTCCACTATGAACTATACGACTGCCAACAGTCCTTTGGGTGACTGGGAGTATAGACACAGCCCATCAATAATAATAATACATATTTTTGTGACATGTGCTGTGTGTGACGGGTGCATGTCCTCGTTTTCATGTGTTTTGGGTTTATAAGGGAGAGCATCATCCATTAGCTACATTTGTGCAACTTTTGTTTTTTGTAGTCCAAATTTTACCTGTGCCAATCACGTGGGTGTCCATCACAAAATCAGGTCCCTAAGGTTGATGGCTTTCCAGATTCAGCACAAGAGACTCTTGTGCTTCTTTCCTACCTGGAATAGTTTTTATTATTGACCCCTCAGAAGGTGGAGTAATATGAGCTATGAATAAGAACTAAGAGCCATAATTTGTGGTATTTAGATCAAGCCTGATAGAATCTACAGGCGCATGGAAAGCAATACATGAGCACAGAGAAGGAGCATGCATTCATGCTTGTGACATATGGACATAGCTGGGGCCTTGTGGTATTGTATTTGCACGCATAAAACGTTCAAAATGCAGTGGACATTTTTTCTTATGTGAGTATTAATTATGGGTGAGCACTTTTGACAGAATTCTGGCGTTATATAATTACGTGTATGTTGTGTGTTAGCCATAGTCAAATACTTTGGCCTTAACAGGTCACGTTTGTGTGAAGTTTTGTTTTGTATACTTCATACAACATCTGCTGAGGTTACAAATCTTTAACTGTTAGTTTGTAGCTGATAAACTAAAACAGTTGAGAAACATTACTTCAATATGTCTGTGTTTAGTTTGTGTTTGTGTGATGACTAATTTTATGAGCAGCCAACAAGACTGAATTCAGCTCCGATTCCTACCAGATACAGAGATTTTAGTGTTTTACCTTGCTTTTCTCTACCATTATGACATTCTGCATACTAACAGAATGATGAAATGTGAGAAAAGGAAAATATATCTGTGAGTTTACTGTTTCCCATGAGAAACCACCAGCTTAACTCAGCCTCGAACAAGATTCATTGATATGATTTTTGGTTAGTTCTGCTTAGAACTTATTTCATCTTTCAAATCACAAAGAAGATATCCAAAACCTGTTGAAGGGGAGCATATGAACTGAAAATGGATATGTGGGTGCAATGCAGTGGTTTCTGGTTACACCTTTTGTTTTTGACGTGGTGTGGAAGAAAAAAAAAACAAATTAACAGTGTATAGTGTGGTTGCACAGACACAAAAATGCCCTTAAACATACAAAGGAAAAAAACATCAATGAGAACAGTTGATACTTTAGGGATGGTGTTTTATGGCATCTATAAATAACAACAAAAATAGGCTGTCCCACATTTAAGATATGGGTGAATGGTTACATTAGACAAACGTAGGTATACGGATGCTCTATAAGCGTAACAACTGTTCATAGATGTAATCATGGCACAATCACGTAGGACTCTGTGGTTTGAAAGACTGCACACTGAAAAGCCAACAACCATTTATGACTTAATGAGCCAGAATGTCAGGTCAGGAGCTACAATGGCTTTATGATCCAGCTCTGGTCCACATGGGAAAAAATAAAGATAGTCTAGCCAGAAATCTTGCCTTCATCCCTACCACTTGGATTCGAATCGAATGTGCTGCTCTTGCACGAACGGCAGCCGGGAGAAAAGTTAAAGATCAGCACATCACAGCCCACAAAAAAACAGAAGGCAGGTAATGTTTGGCACTGGTTGGATCAAGTGATTGAACAGTGTGAGAGCTAATGGAGAGGACAAGAGTGGTTATGGTTGAGTACAGGGAGGAAATATTGAGGCTAGAAGTAAGTGGAAAGTAAAATCTCCCCCCTTGCACAGTTTGACATCTGGAAAAAGAAAAACACTCTGGAAACACAAGGACGTCATAATTACATGATGCACATGTCAGCTGTGTGTAGAAAACAGATGCATTCATTTGATTATTTCAAAAATATATATTTATATGCACATACTCTTTTGTACAGTGGCTGAACACTTGTTTGGTATTAAAATGTGCACAACAGTATTTATTTTCTGTCATTAAATATTACTCAGCATACACCGCTTGTTTAACATTTTCTGCAGGGATTATGAGTTAATAAGGTGATAAAAGACCAACCTAAAGTAACAATTCTGCCTTCCCTTTGATAAAATATCTTAAGTGGAATGCCAAGAGTTGAGACAGAAATAAAAAATACAAATGGAGAACTATAATGTCTTGAACTTGTCTTGTGACAACTCACACTATATATGCGTGTGTATATAAACAAAACCAAAGAGAAATAAAACCCGGCATCCCTTCTTCACACACTGACTGAGTGGTGGGTTTGAATAGAAGTCTCTAAAAAGAGGAACAACTATTAGTTTTTTTTAAAAACCTGCTAACCTCTTTAATGTCAAAATAGAAGCAAACATATTACTTGAAAACTGCAGAATTGATGTTGCTGCAGAAAAGATATTTGCAGTCTATTAACAATCGGGATTAACTTTCTTCAGTGAGGTTGTAAAAGGATTTTGCAAACAGTGTATAAATTATACCAAGAGAATGCACATAAGGCATGTCTCTACCAGAGAATATTCCATCTGCTTCAATTTCTTTGTGGTCAAGTTGTTCATTAAGAGATTTCAGACTACTTCAATCACCCGATTTTTTAAATTTCTTTAGTTTTTAAAGTGTATTTCATAAGAATGACAAAACATTCTTGCAAAAATAATAAATCAACTCTGCATGAATCCTGAGTAACCTTTAAAAAAATACTTCTAATCAAAAAAATAAAAGGAACATGTAGAATCCGTTCATTGAATCAGCACTCCTGATCTGAATGCAACACATCAAACACTAGAGGACATTTTACTGATCTCAAATCAAACATTGCTAAAATGACACACAAAGACACACTAAAATGTTTTAAAAATGTGCTCTCTTTCTCCCTGCTCATTCTCTCTGTCACATTCTGGTCAGAAATAGTCAACATTCAAAACAAACCAAAGAACAGAGAGTTAAAGGGGGGTGAGGGTATTAGGGTGGTACACTTGAATAAAAGCATCAAAAACGATGCAGATATAATGCTATTAATCAGTCAACATTTTTATAACGTCTCTGTGACTGAGTCTGATACAGTGTTTCGTGTCACCAGCAAGGAGAGGAAACTTTTCAAGCCAAAACTCTAGGCCAACATGGACTTAGTAAATTTTCAAACAGGCACAGTAGCTTATATATATATATATATATATATATATATATATATATTTATTAAAATATACTTGACACTGAGGCTGAAACATTTTCAGTCTCTTGTCTTTCCATAGTTGGACTGTTCACTTTGGTAAGGGCTGAGGATACCACCTACTTTAGTACTTTTCCTCTACCTTTCATTTTATCTATAAATAAACAGGAACTATTTTGTACCTAAAGGAGGTGTTAAGTGTTAAGCGCTTTGCATTCAAGGCAGCAACACAGCCAATTCACCATGGAGGAAAAGTCGATGCTGGACCCCCCCCTCCACAGTCTCTTCTGCACCTTTATCCTTGGTCCTGGTGCTTTAATGTCTATTTGCACTTGACTCTCCATGGGATGAAAGTGCATAGGGGTTGGGCCCCTACCGTTGCAGTAAGGATCCGCTCACAGTAGTAAGGCCTTTTTGATTCTGAAAACGAGGAGACTGCTTTAATATCTAAGTGTCTGCACAGTGAATCTTTTAATGTGTATGTTCAGGATAGAGCAGGAACAAAGTATATTTGATGTGCATTTATTGACTGTCAGTCTTTGTGTCAATAAAAGGCAGATGGTTGAAGAACGTCCTTCCACAGCTTCTCCTTTTCTTTTTTGTGCAGCTCTCGGCACATTAACTTTGCCCCCCCGTTACTGACGCTCCTCCCCCTCCTCCTCCTCCTGGATAACCTGGATGTCATCTGATGTAGAGGTGGGTAAGCATTCTGGCTGCATCTGTTTGCCAAGCTCTTTACTCTTGTCCTCCTCCTCAATGATCTTCTTCCAAACCTTGTGATTCTCTGACAGGTGCTGCATGATGCAGCTGAACAACCTTCGCCGACCTTTTGTCCTTCCTAAAATTGGAGAAAATTAGTTTATCCAAGCTGCTGTGAATAAATGTATTTATTTGTGACTTACAAGTTCCTGAGTGACTTCATGCAATTATAAGACAGACTGAAGTCTAGATCTTTATAAAATTAGCTTATCCTTTTTTTACTGCGAACCGTCATAGCTATATACTTTTTAGAATATTTATATTAAGGGGTTCCACTAAGCAGATGGACAATCATCCTAACATCCCCATATCTAATGTTGGAAAGTAGGACACAGCTCGCTCTCAAGGAACTTAAAATTATCATAAAAAAGGGATGCAACTTTAAAATCGAACCTGTTCCCAGATCAACTTCTAGATCATCCTCTTCATCTGCTTCTTCATCTGTGTCTTCCTGTGCTTCATCATCATCTTCATCTGAATCTGATCCATTAACCCAGTGGCCAGGAAGCAGACCGGCAGCATCGTAGGAATTACATAGTGGTCCTACAATATGGGTGATGAAGGACTCCTGCAGCTTGGCCAGCTGTGGTGCAGAGCGGTCCATAAAGGGGCTGATGGGTAATCCCAATTTTGCCTCTTCATCTCCCTGCAGATAACAAAAATCTTCAGTGAGAAACATTTAAATGAGCCGCTGGATGACTAATTCAATCTGGTGTAAAAGGTTTACTGCAGTCGGAGTTGAGGTTTCCCTTAAGACATTTTTAAATGACGGTCATGGGTGATGGTGCTTTTCACACCATATGCATTTGGAGTATCTGGGACGTCCAGTGTACATTAAAAATGTCTACAGTGGAAGTGTGTCAAGAGGTGTCAAGAGGTCCTGCAGAGGGTTTTGAACGTTCAAGTGTTGAGCATGTCCAAAGCCGTAGCTATCGTATTAGGGAATTTGAACTTAACCAGCTGAATGCAGCAAGTCAACCAATCAGTGAAGCTGATCCAGGAGCTGCTGTAGCTAACAGACTGTCAGCATAAAATTGGGGTAAACTAATATTTTTTACTGATCTTGGGTGAGAAAGTTTAATACTAACTTAATGTAAAATAGTCATAACTGCCCTATTCAATTTCAGCTGCTACAGACAGCAGTGTGAAATTTAAACAGCCTGGCTGGTTTGAGGGAGCCATCAGTGGGATTTCCAGCACTGTTGCTCACAGATATGCGGGGGGTCTCGGTTGCTTCGCACTTGGCTACAAACCGCCTCAGTTCATGTCGTAGGTCTTGGCAGGAAAGAGCCAGCTGAACCACGTCAACTGCGAAAAGCAGATGACTGGTTTTTGCAGCACTGATCCCCAAAGCAGACCCCCTCAGTCTTTAGCCGTGCCTAGAAATCCTGCCCATAAATGTTATGAATGGGCCAATGATCGAGGCCAGCCCTGTTGAAGTCCAACACACACCGGGAACAGGTCTGACTTAATGCCAGTAATGTGGACCAGACTCCTTCTCTGCTTGTACAACTAGATGGCCCCTTGAAAAGGGTCCCAAACTCCTCATCCCGGACAGCCCCCCACAGGGCACCACGAGGGACACGGTTGAATGCCAAGTCAACAACACTTGGTTCAAGCTGCTGGCATGGGGTATATGCCCTTTAGTACAAATTTCAGGGCTTCAAAACAACAGACCATGCTGTCCTGGTGTATCTGGTGGCAAATTTGACTCAAAACATCTTAATATTCTATCATGAACACAACAGTGAGTTAATAGCAGTCCAGAGGCATCAAAGGCCACAAAATTGCAAGACAAAAAAAAAGAGATCTCACTACTGGATTTCGCAACAAAACTGTGGATGCTATCAAGTTAACCCATTTAGGCCGGGAAAGCATTACCGCATTTCTACCATTCAAGCCGGGGGCGCTGTTGCGTAATTCTACCATTGACGCCGGGAGAGCATATAAGTCAAGCAAGAAGAAAGAAGTTTTTTTCAAGCAAACATGGAGGAGTTTGACAGAGAAGAGTTGTCGGAAGGCAGTGATTTTGAGGAGTGTGTCGGCTTTGATGACGGTATAGATGAAAATGATGACTTTGAACGCGCTGAACCAATCGAACTACCACCGCAATGCACGGAGTGTTTTCAACTGCACACCTGGAGTGAAAGTTGATTTGCCTGCAGACGCCACACCGCTGCAGGCATTTGAGCATATTTTTAATGAAGAACTTTGGATGCATCTAGTTACCGAGATGAATAGGTACAGTGACCAAACAAACCAAACTCCAACAAGAGCAAAGATGGCAAAGTGGTCACCCGTGACTGTGACGGAGATGAAGACATTTATTGGGCTGTGTATGTAAACCTCTCTTCAGGACGCAGTTCCCCCAAAATATGTCCCGGGACAGATTTGTGGCCATCTGGAGGTAGGTTGTATGCAATTTATAACACAGACATGCATTATTATGCATAATAATACTGTTAATAAGTAATCATCAGATAGTTATTTATGTAATGTTTGTTCTTTATTTTGAAAACGTTTTATATTGCACATTCTCAATGAAGACATGACATATGGAAAAAATAAAAGGTTGAATTTTTTTTTTTTTGATTACTGCTTTTCACATTTTTTTTTTGGAAGAATTTCAAAGATAAAATATAATTTGAGTTCTATCTGCTACAGAAGCTGAGATATCAATAATTTAGGCGTTGACACAGTTGCTGAATTTACAGAAAAACTTCAGGTTTTAGGGGTATTTTTTAAAATCGGCCATAGGTTTTTAAGGTGTTTTTTCCAGGCGTTTTAGGCCTAAATGGGTTAAAGGTGGGGTATGTGATGTTTTCTGGAGCATGTTTTTACCATACTGATTGAAAACCTCCTCACGAGCCCATTGCGCCAACTGAGATAGAATGTTTGGAAAAAAAACGAAATCTTTTAGTCCAGTGTAGAGGGCGTTGTCAGAGGAAAACGCAAACCAATAGAAGTAACTATCATCCCTACTTCTACTGGTTTCTGGCACGCCCATCAACCGTCAGCTCTGAGCTCTCCCCACCCCTCCCCCCTGCGCGTTCACAGACTCGTGACACCCCCCCCCCCCCCAAGTGCCGCTGAAGGGAGGACCTGTTCGAATTTACAGACAGAACTCTTGTGGTCTCCTTATTTTCAAGGACTTCGAAGGATCCAGTCTAGGTAGACCGCGTCCTTGGAGGATGCAGCCCAGGTTTTTGAACA